AAAAAAAAAATTAAAAAAAAAAATTTCGAACTTCGAAAAAGCATTGATTTTTGTCATAAAACTGAAAAATTCCATATGTATTGACTTACAAAAATTTTTTAATATTTTTTATCGGAAAGTACATCTAAAAACAAAAATTTTGAAAAAAAAAGGTACCTAAATGTTTAGTTTTGAAAAAGTTATGGCTATTTGAAAATAAAAAAGCCATTTTTTTGAAAAATTCATAACTTTTTTGGAGTTAGGTAAAAAAATTCAAAAAAATTCTGAGAACCGTTTTTTATAGGGTAGAAAAGGATGGAAAACTTTCGGCCAAATCGAAAAGGGTCGGGGTCAAAAGTGGTCGATTTGGCATGGAATACCCCCTATATATTTTATATAATAATAAGTTATTACTAATAACTAATAACGTAGTATATAGGTATACTTAATGCGTAAGCTGACCCGCAACATACCCCGTGAACGTTTGAATGCTTGCGCCAAAAAAGAGAAAGTTTGCGCAGAATAGAAGTTGCGCACCAAAAACGTAACGAGGTCATTCATCAGTAGATTTTACCCCTCATATTTTTCTCATACCGGGCGCCTTATATATGAAAATCGATTCTTAAGGAGTAAACTCCAAAAATAAATTTTTTCTATGCAGCTTCTGACAACATAATAACGGATCATTAATATTTTGAAAAAATATATTTTTTCGATGATAAATAATCATCGAAAAAATTTGTTTTTTTAATTTTTGATTTTGCAACAACGAAAATTATTAATAAAAAACTGAAAAATAAAAATTTTTTAATTTTTCCAACGAGGATTTATTCTGAAGCCTTCCAAGAATTGCTCCAAAAGAGGAAAAAAAGCTTAAATTTATAGTTTAACAATTATCACACTTGCAATGTATATATTCAAGCAGAAAAAAATTATTAATTAACTATTGCATAACTAATTCAAAAATTGTTTTCAGAAGGATTATTATTTGTTTATTTCTCCAGTAAGCACCTGATTTTTTTCATTTCTCAAATTTTACACCCGTTTTCGGCCGTATTTTCATCCCTCTGAGAAAATTATAAATATTGATCCTACAGTTCCGGGAGTCGGAACTTTTTATAAAAAATTTTCTCCTCTTATTGAATCTTTTTTAAAGTTTTCAAAATCTTTATTCGTTTTTGAAATATTTGCAAAAAACTAAGCCCCCCTGTTTTTTTTTTTAGTTAGTTAACAGGCGAAACCATCTTTTTCTCGCTTTGCTCTCACGGATTTCAACGGAACTATCTCTTTCGCACTCCCAACAGCAGAGCAATTGCAGTTTCGATTGGTTTCACGAAACGAATGAAATTTTTGAAAAAAACGCTTTGTTGTAAAATAGTTTATTAAATTATCTATTATCTCTAAAAACGTTTTTTCAAAATTTCCATTCGTTTCGCTAAGCCGATTGAAACTGCAATCACTGGTCTCGGCTGTTAATAACTTTTGCAATTTTTGCAAGTGGAACTTAATTCTTTTTTAAAAATCATCTAGATGCCATTCCGAATCGAATGACACCTCAATTATAAATTTCGGAGACTGCTGAAAAAAGTTGACCAAAAAGGCACTGTTGACTAGACTACATACCCTATGCACGTTTCAATACTCACGCCTGAAAAGTGAAAGGTGCGCAGAATAGGTTACGCACGAAAACGTAACGAGGTCATTCTTTCAGTAGATTTTACCCCTCATATTTTTTTCATACCGGGGGCCTTATATGAAAATCGATTCTTAAGGAGTAAACTCCAAAAAATTTTTTTTTTCGTTGTTTATTTTTGAATTATTATTATTTTGAGGTGATGGACTACTGGTTGATAGAAATTAATTCTGAAAAAATTCGGATGTGGGGGGATTTCAACTTGATCCGTCTGCGTGGAAGTCTCAAGCGGTGTCACGGCTGTGTCTCGAGCGGTGTCTCAAGCTAACTGATCTGAGTGTAATGTTATTAGTTTAATCATTTCAATGTTCAACAATCAATTTTTCTCAGTATAATTGAGTTAACTTGATTGTTGTTACGAATTTTTCTATTTATTTCATAATTGAACAATTTCTGAATTTTAATAATAAAAAATTAGAAAAACGGTAGACCCTGAACGGCCATCCCTGCAACTTCCCGCTAATTCCATACCTAGGTGCTTAAAATTGCACTAATGATGTTTTTGAGCTCTTCGAACTCAAAAATACAATTGATGTGTTATTGCACGCCTCATAGCGCGAAGCGCGTGAGGTTGTGCTTTATACTCGACTCGTCAAGTTCAATCAATTTTGTGATCTTTAAATGCCTCTATCACAACCATATTACACTTATACAATGATATAAGTAGATGTACACCGAAAAAACACTTAAATTAAACCATCTTTTACTTTCTAAAATCATTTCATGTTGCTATTTCGAAAAAAAAAAATGTTTTGAAAAAAATTTTACGTGGACGTCCGGATGTCACCCCATTTTGGATGTACCAACGATTACTCCCGAACAAATTGATATTTCAAGACCAGACCTTTTTTATTAGTTTAAGAATTCGATGAACTGGGTCCGTATTTCATATCTGTGGCCTAGTTTACGTATTTTTTTTTTTAATTAAAATTTTATTAAAATTCACTACGATACAACCGTACAAAGCCAAACGAACTTTTCTTATTTGACACGTGAAAACTATGGCACCACTTGATCAAGCTAGATTTTTTTAGACTGCGTGCACATATGACAAGAATAAAGGGCGTCGATATTTAAAAAAAAAATAAAAAATACTTTGTAAGAAATTACTTAATTATAATTTTTTTTCTTTAATCAATTACACAATTAATTTATTTCTTCAAAAATGAATGAGTGTTATAAGGCGTGCGCTTTTGGATTTTCCTCATTTTTTTTGAGCTCTTCGAGCTTAAAGAGATGGCTTTTTTATGCTTTTGAGCTCTTCGAGCTCAAAAATCTTATCAAAGTTCGATGAAACACGATTTTTTTTATTTTCAAACCGTAATAATTTTTGAATGAATCAACCGATTTTCACGTGGTTGGTGGCATTTGACGCAGTCTTTTTAGTTTCATAAAGAATTTTCAAGTTTGAATTGATGAAACTAGAAAATTCAGAGTAAATTCATAGCTGATTATTAGGTGACTGAATGGTAGTTACGGACAATGTCTCGGATAGCTTAACTGGTAGAGCCTTTGGCGCGTAACCAAACGATCTGGGTTCGAGTCCCGGTCTGGGCTGTCCGAATCATTTTTTCGGTTACTGAAAATAACTACTGAGTAAGGTCCCCCCTCCCCCCTCTATCTTTTATTTTCCCAGTTCCCAAATTTGTCTTTAATGACAAATTTAGCTATGTATTATGGCTGGACAACATACACACACACACACACACACACACACACACACACACACACACACACACACACACACACACACACACACACACACACACACACACACACACACACAAACTTCCAGTTGGCACAGCCAATTTGGCTAATTTCTGTGGGCTATTTAATTTATTAAATTTTAATAAATATTTTTTAACATTCAATAAATATTTATTTGGGAGAAAAGTGCATTTATCAATAGTTAACTTAATAAGTATTTATTAATAGTTAACAAATATTTATTAACAATTAATAAATTTTTTGTTGAGTGAATTTGTTTCGCTTGCAATGCCATATGATATGAAGATTGCTTATAAACAAAGGTTTTTCAATTAAGTTTAAAAAATTATGTTAAACCTTTAAAAATTCATGTTGTATCGAATGGAGTTAATGTTGTTTCTCATCGAGATTTAATTTAATTTAATTTAACAGATGCATTACATTACTTGTATTTATTTATTAGAAAAATAAAGATTTTTAACTAAAAAAAAAAATGATAATGTTTTAAAATTATTTGCATTAATTATATTACATTATAATAACGTTTATTGTAAAATACCAAATTCTATCACAGCTCATAATTATTTTTTATATTTTGAAATATTAAAAACGTTAATTTATTTAGTGAATTGAATTATTATCATGTATTCCAGCTATAGGGTTATAAAAAGTATCAATAGAAAATTGCTATTTTTGCTTTTTATTTTAAATAAATATTTGTTAACAGTTAACATATATTCATTACTCAATATTTATTAACAGTTAATAAATTGTACTTAATAAATTACTTATGAACTGTTAATAAATATTTGCAAATATGTTAACTATTAACAAATATTTGTTAACATTTAATAAATCGTATTTAATAAATAATTTATTAATTGTTAATAAATATTTATTAAATCCTATGATGTTAAAAACTCATTTATTATTAACAGTTAATAAAGCTTATTAAATATAAAAAATTTCTTCTATCAGTGTACTATGTTTGCACAATAACCTTTGATGGGTTAAAAAATTAGCATAATTTGTTGTATGATTGCAGCATTGTATCGATTTAAGGTCTCGATTAACGTCACTGATAGCTGAATTAATTAATTTCAGTCACGCGCATAATCGACATGAGAACTCCTTGACAATTATATTTGCATTTGATTCGTCAAAATCAACAGGTGAAATATATTTCTTCACCACCAGTAATGCTATTGCTGACTTTGCAGTTTTCTCATAACATATTTTTCATGTACGGTTTTATTAGTATGCTTAGTTTTCGATAATAAATAATAAACTGATAATTAGTGAAAGTGCAAAAGTGCAAAGTATTTATCACAAATTAAAAATATTCTTCAAAAAACTGTATATGATATTTCAATACATAAATTTTTATTTATAATTTCAAGTTAATTCTCAGTGTTAAAATCGTAAGATTCCTAATATCATCCAAAATGCATGCTATAACACCAAAAAGTTTAGGAAAATATGAAGTATTTTTGGAAAAAAGTAAAAAAGTTGAACCTTTAAAAATGGGTTCATATATTTTTAAATTAGAACTTGATCCTCTAAACAGTGAACTTATAGAAAAAGCAAAAAATGAGCTTAATGAAACAGTTGACGCAGTAAATAAAGGTCTTGCTGATCTGAGAGAGTTGCTACAAGGTAATCAAATAAGAATAATTATATACTAGCAGGGACCATTTTTTCAAATTTTGATGTTCAAATAACTTCAAAAGAAATCATTAACTTTATATTTAAGGATTTTGCTGCAAAAATTTAACAGGTAAAATAGACATTAAAATTTTAAGTTAATGACACCCGTTGATGTGAAATATAAACCATTCGATTAGCTTGATACTAAGACAAAATTGTTCAAAACTATGATACAATAAACGTAGGGTTATCATATTTTGAATCACAATAACGGCAAAATGTCTGGATTTAATTTTCTTTGCTATTGTAATATTTTGCACACCTTATACCGCGAAGCGGTTGAGGTTGTGGGTTACTCTCGACATATTTATTTATTACTTTAATGCGTAAACTGAATTATTTTAAGAGAGAAATTTATTTGAAAGCTATTGGAGAAGTTGATAAGAGCTTTAGTTATTCTATTAATAAAGTTTCAATATTTCTTACGTTTTATTTAAATATACAGTGCGCGTCATTGATTCGTACCGGTTGAAAAATTTTAAGGTAAAATAGATAAATCAAAATTTCGACATCTGTAAATAAAGAAATCAATAAAAGGAAAATCTTTATAAGGATCAATTTGTCCAAACAAAATTGAAAAAATAATTTACTAAAAATAAATAACTCAAAATATCAATCACGATTAAAATAGAAATGAAAAATATTAGTAATTAAAATAATCACACACTTTATAAAATAAATAAAAGTAAAATTTTAATATTAAAAAAAAAAGACAACGATATAATCCGATAATTTTTAAATTTATCAATTATAAATATAGGCATTGGATAAAATAAAATAGACTAAATTCAGAGAAGTCAGTAAAAAGACATTTGAATATTTATATTAATAAAAATATTGATAGTTATTAATATATAAATTCTTAAAAAATAGACATCTAAATATAGACTAGAAAATTTAGATAACTGTGATTTTAGACATCTGTAAATTTTGATTTATATTAATTTATAAATTCAAATAAAAATACAATTAAAAATATAATTGCTTTCAATTTACGAGCTAATAAAAAATTGAAACAGTATTTCTATAAGGCTCTAGAGCACTAGACCAAAACCCTTGAATGTTTACGGAGTCGGTTCACCAGGAGGTTGTGGATTAGGCTGCTGCGGGATTCCCTGCGCTCCAAATAATAACCTAAATATTTTTAAAATAGTGTGTGCCGTATTTATCAGAGTTAGCTACTCATGGAGGTTTACGGAGCCGGTTCTCCAGGAGGTTGCGGATCAAGCAGCGGTGAGATTCCTTGCGCTTCAAATAAATAACCTAGACATTTTTAAAACAGTGAGTGTCGTATTTATCAGAGTTAGTTACTCATGGAGGTTTACGGAGCCGGTTCTTCAGGAGGTTGCGGATCAAGCAGCGGTGAGATTCCGTCAATATTTCACAAAATAGAAGGTCATTTCTTAATTATTGACATTTTTCAAGGTATAAACTCATTTTTATGTTACACTCATAAAGACCTTTCATTTAAGTACCCATTTGCATTTTTGATATATTTTTCATATATACATATTTATAATATATAATATATATAAATATATGAAAAATTGATCTGGGTACTCAAATGAAAGGTCTCGATGAGTATAACATCAAGATGAGCTTATATCTTTAAAAATGTCAGTAGTTCACAAAATACAAGCTCATTTCTTAATTATGTATCTACAAATAGAGCATTTTCGAATGTATTAAAAAAAATGTACTTACCGAAGTGTTGGATATTTATCAAGAGGGTCATCATGATACATAAACAAGGGTAGGGGATGTTCGATATCCATAATGTTTCTTTCAGATATTCCTGGGATATTTTTTTGGGATATTCATAGACAATCGGCAAGTACGTTGAGCACATTCCACGATAATGATGTTTCAATGGATTGATTAAATTGAAAGATTTGTCGAAAAATAGTGTTATTTTATCTAGTACCAAATTGTTTCCACTTCTGTAAAAATGATTATGGAAACATTTTACAGCAGGTTTTATTCCGTGAGTGGCCTTAGAAACAGCGTCCGAAATTTCTTGATAAGTGTAATTATTTCCATGAGTAATATTACTTTGGTTCAGAATATCATTCATGTTATACTTGTTGAACAATCTAGATGCTTCGGATAAATACTTGGATTTATCGTTAAGTAGTTCGATTTTAGTAAAACAAGGTCCAAAATCAGTCCATGTATCTTCTAATGTAGGGTAAGGGTTTGGACGTTCCCAATCATCTGACCATAATGTCCCATTTATACAGGATGTATAAGAAGCGTTATTTCTAAGTATTAAATCGACAGCGACCCATTGTTTCTCCGTATAATTGTACTGAATGCTAAATCCCAGGTGTAAATCATCTTCACTGAACATTTTTAATTAGTAATTTTATTTTTTGGGTTTATTAATTAACTTTAATAGTTACCATTTAATTAGCGTCGCCAAAAATACAAATGTTAATTAAGAAAAAAACTAAACTTTTGATACAGTTCATTGTGATCAAAAAATTATTTGACTATTCCTGATGCCAGGCAGCCGCTCATTGAAGATTCGGGGGTCAGAGGTTTTATTTATCCGAACAAAAACAGTTTCACTGTAAAAAAATCGCATGAAGTCCACGTTCATAAGATTATTAAGAAAAAAAAATTAGTTTTTTTTCTTTACAAAAAGATATAAATATAAAAAAATTGAAAAATCCAAGTAACCGATATGATTGTTTATGATTTTCGGAAATTAAAAGAAATTTTGTTGTAAATTTAAAAATTAAAAAAATAATTTTGGAACGTATTTAGTGTGCGTTGTTGTGAAATATTTTACTTTTAATTAAATTCGTAAAATCTATTTACTAGGGCTTTAAAAAAATTGAAATACACAATGTGACGCACACCAAGTACGTTCCAAAATTGTTTTTTTAATTTTTAAATTTACAGCAAAATTTTTTTTAATTTCCGAAAATCATAAACAATTATATCGGTTACGAGGATTTTTTAATTTTTTTATTTTTTATCTTTTTGTAAAGAAAAAACTAATTTTTTTTTTCTTAATAGTCTTATGAATGTGGACTTGGCGCGATTTTTTTACAGTGAAATTATTTTTGTTGGCTGCATTTTTTTATAGCAAACTATTCCCTTGAAGCTATAGTTTATGTAAAAATAATTTCAGCGCACCCTGGCGGGTGTAGATGCAAGTTGTGAAATATCTTTTTTTAACTGTAGTGTCCCATCTTATGAAGGATTACTATGCATTCTCGAATATTTTAGTCTGTGGCAGATCACTTTGCCCATCGACAAAAAGTCAGGATCGAAATTTTTGCGTTGCTATAGTTTGTGCTGATTAAATTTAGTAATTTCAAGTAGATTAATTGTTATAAGTGAATATAATTAATTAATAACAGTAAAATAAAGTATGAATTACTGTTATAATATACAATTTAGGAAAAAAAGTACCGTAGAATTAAATAAAATTTTGCAACCTCAAAATACCGTTCTGCTTACAGTAAACACAGTCGGTAGTCTGGCGCTCCGTTGACAACGGATTTGAACGGAACTTGGCGCCAGATTCTACCGAATCTGTGGATAAAATAAGGTTTTAATTATCTCTAAAAAACATGAAGTTACAATTATTCTAAAAAGTTGGCGGGTTTTTCTCGAAACGTTCGAAAACATTCAACACAGTTTTTGAGTGCAATGCATTGTTAAATTTTAAAAATCAATTCGAGTAAGCTATGTACACAAAATTAGCTGTTATCCATATGAGGATATAAATTACATCGCGATCTTGATTGGCTTGATGCTTGACTGGCACAATTGAATTCGAATCCATTTGACTTGACTCTCAAACCATTTCTCATTGATCTCTTATGCCACACACTCACGCCGTGTGATTTTTAAACATCTTATAAGAACAATAGAATAAAAGCACCTTTTTTACATCTTCATTTTACGAAATCTATCAAATCAATCATAAATTATTATCAATTTTTAAAAAATGCAAATAATGATATTGAATTATTAATAGATGAAACAATTGTATCATTACAATATGACACATCCAGTTTATTCGGATAATTTAACGCCAATGGATGATCAAGACGTATTATCATCAGGACTTGTTGTACCACTTCCAGTACGCAATAGAGACGGATGTAGATTATTTTTAATTCAATGTGGTAGTAGATGGAATCCGAATGAAATTTCATTGGATCAAATGCTGAGAGGAATTAGATTGGTTACTGAATCTGCTCTTTTTGAACCTGAAACTCAGGTATCTCAATAGAAAAAATAATTTATTATTATAAATATAATTCAAAATGATTGAACATTCTTTTATTAAGGTTTGTGGAGTCCACTTATTGTTTGACTTGGGTGGATTTACTTTATCTCATGCGTTATGCTTCACACCAACATTTGCAAAAGCAGAGCTTGATTGGGTACAAAAGTGTTATCCTGGTAGAATAAAAGGTTTACATATGGTCCATAATCCTTTCTTGTTTAATATGGTTTTTGCTCTTTTTAAACCACTTCTGACGGTAAAATATTTTTTATAGTTTTATAATCAATCCATCTACCCCAAAAGAATTTGTAGAATTATATATTTATTAAAGTTTTGTTTTATTAATCAATTAAGGAAAAGTTACGTAAAAGAATATACTTTCATGGTACGAACAAAGAATCGCTGTTGAAAGTAGTTGATCGCAAAGCTGTACCAAAATATATGGGAGGAGACTTGGATGTGCCAATTCAACCAGTTGGAAAGCCGTTATGGGAATATTACTGCAATTTTCAACAAGAATTTGAAGGTAATAATATTTTAAAACTTACCATAGTATATTCCGCATGGAAAAACTGCATAATTTCAAAGTATACTCAAAGTTATAAACATAAGTATACTTCTTAAAATACAACTGAAGATCTGATAAATAAACTATAAAATATATTATAATTATTGTACAACTTCGAATATATTTGAAACCACACCCGACTTGAAATTTTAAAGTATATTCGGCTGTTATGTCTTACTTGATAGTTAATTAACGACAATTTTTTGTAATACTATGTTGATATTTATGTTTCAAAATATACTTTTTAGCTATACACTTTTTTTCATGCAGAATATTTTACGTTTTAATGTAATTACGGAAAAACTAATTCAATAAATAATTTTTTAGAGTCTGTAAAACTTGGATATCTCAAGAAAAAGTAATATTCTCGTTAATTAAGCAAATTTATTATCGAAGTCAACAACTATGCATCAATTTTGATTAAGGATTCATGTATTATAAGATTCATGTAATAAAGTTATTGAACGATCAAAACAGCGAGCACAATATCATATTCCGATTGCACTAATAACTAAAAAACGTATGGTTAATTCGTGCGAGATAATCGATTTTTCACTTACGAAAGACCGATTATATAGGGTAGAACCACCGCTTTTAGAAACCTTAGTTTTAGTTTTGGACACTTTGAAATTCAATGATTGTGCAGTAAATTGTAATGTTAAAATGATGTTTTCATAGAATTTTTAAACGCTTACATTTATACAAATAGAATTTATGATGCTATAACGTTTATAAATTATTCATACAATAATTTGAACATTAAATTTCCAAAAACGGTACAGTGTCCCCAAACGGTATCTCTACCCTACACACGGAAAAGATTTGTTTATAAAATATACTTAATTGATTAGAAACTGTTCCAAATCTTGACAAATATTTTGAATAACTTTATTCCAATTTTCAAAACTGCTCTTTAACTTTCTGTATGGTCACTGGTTGTTGAGATATCAATGGTTCAAGACAAAAGACTCCTTTTTCGTTAAATGTCTTCGCCACAAATAGATGTAGCAAGAAAATAGAAAAAAGAAATTGAAGCTAAATAAACAGGCTATCTGATCGATATGATCGTCTAATCAAAAAAAAATTTTTTTCTTATTACCCCAGTCGAAAGTATGTGGTTTTGGCTGCAATTTCACGGCAGAAAGTCCAACTTTTGTGCCGCGCTGGGATTACTCGTGCGCCGTCTATAACAGCGGGCGGAATCTCAGTTAGAACACATGCGATTTTCACTTTATTTCTATAATCAGCGAAAGTTAGGTTTAAATTAAGAGTCAAACGGTCTAGACTTAGCGTAAAGCGTTAGCTTTACATCAAAATTAAAATTAAAAAATCATAATTAAAAAATTATTTTTAACTTCCCGATAAGAAAATTGAAAATTTTCAAAAATCAAGAAGAAAACTGAGGATTCTCTGCACAGCTCAGTCGAGTGTAAACAGCGACCAGTTGCTCATTATTCTAATACACCTAACCTTACTGTTATCAATACATTATCGACTACTGTTCAAAATATTTGCTCCGTTTAGCGGTAAGTAGGTGCACTAAATAGAAAGTTTGAATCAAGAAAGTTTTTCAAAATAATTCATTCACCTCGATTTCCTCAACATCTACGGCATTTCCAAAATTACTAGAAATTCATAAAAATTTTCTTTGTATTTTTAATTAGTATACATAAAAATTATAAACAATACTAGTTTCAAATATTCATTTATTGAAATGTTAAAATAGATCAATCAAAACTATTATTAGGAATAGTTATCACTAATAGTAATTAGTCGAAGTAAAAATTTTTTGACAAGTTATTATTACATAGTTTGATGGAAATGAGAATATATTTCTGCTATCCTTGCATTTGTTTAGTTCCTTGAGAAGAAAAATGTCGAAAGAGTTTTTCGAAATCCTGCATCTGCAATCAGCTGAAAATAAAAACATGAATGGATAAGTAAAAACTCTGTAAATCAAAATATACATTCATTATGCAATTTTTTGCAGCAGAATTAATTAGTTGAATATAAATAAACTAATCTTCCTATTGGTTGATTTTTAAGCTCTCCGAACCTTGTTCAATTTTGATTTACTTGGCATTATTCGACGCAATTTTTCAAGTATAAAAATTATCTGCAAAGTCTTGAGTCGATGGATCGATGAATTTAAAAGTTATGTCAAAAAAACTTTTTTTGTTATACTTGCTCCAAAAGTTTAACTTTTGAGCGCTGGGTGGCGTCCGAAAAGATACTCATTTCTAGAGACTCTACCCTACCGTCTTTTTTTCCGCGGCCTAGGGCGCAAAGTTTACTTCCCCCTTTTTTTCCGTACTGTCCTTGTGCAATCGGATGAAATTTAGAACGAAATAAATCAAATTCTAGTGTACTGACCGATGATTTTGAGTAAATTTAAACTTAGTTACTATTGAGTGGCGCTAATTATTTATCTGCTGGCAGTTTACTACGAAGCGGACCTAATGTTAATAAAATAACAACCATGCCATAGATAAATATTAATAAAAAGATAATTAAAATAAAATTAAGTTTTTTTGCCCTTGTGAAACTTCATAAAATTTGAATATGTCATTATTTGCATCCTATCCCTCAAAAGTTAAACTTATGGAGCGATAATAATAAAAAATATTGTATGTCATTTGGCCACTAAGTGGTGATTTTGACAACGACAATTTTACGTTATTCGCTTTAAAGTTTGTAACGCGAATGTACGAAAACGGGCGTAAATTTCCGTTAAAATTACGCCCGTTTTCGTATGTTCCCGCCACAAACCTTAAGCTCATATCGCAACATCGTCGTTGTCAGAAAATCGCCACTTTGCGGCCATATGACATAAATTACTATTTCCTGCCCCCCGGCCGGAATGTGGCAACTTTCTGACCTCTGCGCTAAACGAAGTTGCCACATTCTGGCTACGTCGAGCAAAAAAAAGTTTACACACTTTGGCCAGTAAAAAGTAAAGCCTTAGAGCACACGTAATTATTGGCCGAGGCAAAGCCGAGACTTTTCTTATTTTACTGGCCTAGGTATGTAATATAATAATTAGCACATTACGCATTGACCCGCGCGGACTTACGCATAAAAAACAAAAGTGTCGCTATAGTGGGGACGAAAGGACGAGTCAAATACAGAGATTCTACTGTATTTCAAAGTATTCTAAGCAGTTAACATGAAATAGTTTGTCAGTTTTACTACTTATTAAAGATTTTCAATAAAAGAAATTCGCTTCGTCTTTTTGGTTCTTTAAAACGTTGATTTATGAATCCATTGGAAATGTCTGATTCTATTTCATCAGTTTTTCGTTGTAGAGTGTATAAAGAAAATAAAATTAGCTTACGCTCAAATAATATTCCGATGCAACTCGATGACGTATTTGAATCGCCTCTCGTATGGATTGAAGTCCTACATTTTTGCAGATAACCATCAGACGAATAAGGCTACGATAATCAAAATCATTCGCAAGACCATCATAAAGCCTATTTGCAATGTATCCCTCTTTAGATCTAGCATACTGAACTGAAATAATTTATTTAATTATGTTAATAAACGTAATAAGTAATAATAGTTAGATTTATAGTTCTGAACTGCATCATCACTATTGTATAAGTTAAGCGCAGATTTGATTTTGGTTACCTATCGCAATAAGCGTGCGGGAAAAATCTCCGACAAAATTATTGTCAATCACGGTTTCGATATGTTGGTCAAATATATCATTAAATTTCATTATAATATGACGAAGTTGAGTATAACTAACAGATGTCAATATTTCCGCAAATTTGTCAGGGTTTGGTGCTCCGTCTTCAGGAATCGCTGAAAAAAAATAACGTTTTTGAGGTAGATTATGTGTTATTAAAAATCAATCAAAATAATGAATCAATCAAAAAACAAGCTTTTTGCAGCCAAAGTTAAACTGTTAATTTTTACGAAGATTCAATTGTTTGAAATAGAATAAGTTACATTGATTATCGACAATAATAAATTTTTTTATTTTATTATTTTTATTTATAAATCAGCAGTAGCATATATATTAACAGAATAAAATAGATTTATGTCTTATCGGCCGGTTTATTAATGTAAATGGAAAAGATATATTCACACGAAGTCAAGACTATCACCTTTGTTATTCGGTAGAATATATTTTTTATTAATATTAAATTAGCATTATAAGTGATTCACTCTTCGATTTACCAAACTTATTTTCTTTTTAGTATATTATGTAAAAAGAAAAAAAAAGTTTGTCAGGTATTTGTTAACAAAAAAACTTAAGGACACATACTTCAATTAAACTTTGTACTGTCAGTCTTAGTTATAATTTTGTTATAATTTCATGAAAACATATTTGATATTTTGAGGCTTTTTTATTAATTAAAGATAAATACCTGCATGATAAAGTTCACGAGCGTCCTTTTCTGCATCAATATAATTAATGTCAGTAGATTTATTTCGTTGAGTTTCTAACATCTTTATGTACAACTTCTTCAAATTATTCGTTGTAAATTGTTCCAGGTCATCTTTTAGAGACTTTTGGTAATCTAAAAATGTTGAAATTTGGAACAATTCAAAATAAAATTCATTATGATGAATATATCTATAATAAATAAAAGATATTACTGTTTTGATAAACTTCCTGAATCGCTTGTAGTTTGATGTGATTTTGAGTTAACAAAATATCGAATAAGACTTTTTCATTGTTTTTAATTCCATTAAGGGCATTGTATACTTCTTGAGCATAAAAATCAGTACATTTTGTGAGTAAAGCAACGATTAACTCTTCAAATTTTCCTGTTAAATGATCTCGTATATCATGAACTATTTTTTCGCCATAACGTGATTCATACGCTCCGGAAATTTGTTGAAGCTCACAAGTTGTTCTTTGGGATACAATATTAATGATAGCGTCTTCATCGATAGCTTGAGGACCAACCAATGCAAAATGAATAGCAATAGCATCTTTTTTATATGGAGATACACCACATGCTGGGTTTGAAATTATTAATCCAGTTGTTACAACAAAAGTCATCAACGAAATCAGTCGATCCATGCTGATCTGTAAGTACAAAGGTTGTGAAATTTACAAATAATGATAAAGAGTTCTACGCACTTAACATCATTAACCAATAAAATAATTTTGAAGCGTTTTATTGTTTTAAAATAGGATGAAAAATTCTTTAATTCAATAAATTTATTTGAACGTATAAAAATTTCTTAGTTTCAGAATTTTTTATATAAAGTTCTTTAAAATTATTTTCTTGATTCCAGTTAATTTGCTTTTCTGTATTTTTTACGTATATTTATGTTCATACATAGAAATTTTTATGTCAACCGGATGTATTTTCGAAGATATATACAAGAAACTCGATTTCTCTCAAGTAATTGATGTAAAGATTAATTTTTTCGATTAATATTGGCTGTTTACACAAATTTCTAAAAACTTTTGAGCAAAAATTTTCATCCAAAAATCAAAATTTTTTATTGATTTCGATGATGCTTTATATTATCGGTTTTTTGAAGTGAAACTTCTTTAGGCGCATGAGGGTAAAATTTTTACAGATGAAACGTCACGCCGGTATGCAACGGAAGTGTCGGAAAAGAGAGAGAGAGTGATCGAGACCGATTGAGAGAGAGTAAGACAGGGCGAACGTAGCATGAGCAACTAGCCGTGGAGTGAGAGTAGGGAGCAAGCGAGTGAGAAAGATTGAGAGAAAAAGTCAGACAAGAGCGAACGTCGTCTCCGCATAGTGCTATGGAGTGTGAGGTGGGAGAGAGCTATAGTGAGAAAGATTGAACAAGAGAGAGAAAGAATACGGGATATCGAGAAAGAATACACGCCCTATTGGTTGTGTATTCGTTTACTAGTTAATTATTATACTAATAATTGTTTCATTATTATTGAAGTAAAACTTCTTTATCGACGTATGAGAGAAATTTTATAGCAATATAAAAAAAAAACGTCACGATTGTCGGTTACGCTCCA